CAGCATGTCCTTAAGCCCAGAAGGAAAAGCAAGCCCAGAGAGGGTGTCAGCTGCCTTGCTGCACGGCTGTGCAAGTGCAGAACCAGGAGTCACGGCTGGAGGAACAACAGGACTGCCCAGGCACAGCTCTGGAAACAGCAGCAAGGCAGCACCAAAACAAGAGGAATCAAACAGCAAAAACACAGGAGGTGCTGGCATCTTAATAAAAGGACCAACCAGCTGGTCACCAGGAGCCTGAGCAGCTGTGCCTGTGAGCCAGCTGTGCCCACCTTCCTGGATGTCCCCGTGGACAGAGCACCTTCCCAGCCAGTGCCATGGGCATGGGAAGAGGGAAGGGAAGGAGGAGGCCCAGCCAGCCATCACACCAGCTCAACTGGAGGCAAAGAAGCCACCTGGATACTGGGAAACAGGCATTCACATACAGAGGTGACACAGCCTTTGCTAACTGCTGCACACAATGCTGGGCTCTAGTCCTTACTCCTCCTTAGGAGACAAGGAGCAGAAAGCCCTGGGTTTCTAAATTATTCTCATTGAAAACCAGCAAGATTGGAATTTGGTGGCCATTTTTTGCTAGCTTTCAACAAAGAGCAGCCAGAACTTCCTGGATTATGTGGGGAGATGGAGAGACATGCTTCCCTCTTAATGTCTCTGAGGACCAAGAACTGGGGGTGGTCTTTGCTCTCCGCAGGTGACAATACCTCAGAGTCCTCCATGGTCAGAAAGAACAAATGAGGGGGAAACCAGCTGAGAAAAGGGCAGTGGGGGACTTGCAGGGCAGTCAAAGGAGAAAAGAAAGCACACTGGAGTTGGAACAAGCTATCATGAAAACAATCCCAAACTTAATTCCCTTGGATAGGACATCACATAGTGCTTAGAAGAATTAGCACTTTATCTTTGCAGACACAAGAAGCAAGAACTTGTTCTGCCATTGTGCAGTCACTGATTCCTTATTTCTTTCTTTCTTTTTTGTTTGTTTTTTGTTTGTTTTTGTTTCTGAAGAGGAAGAAAAAGAGGCGTCGTTACAGCTCACCATGGAAACTGCCGCTGTGGACAAGGAATGGTTGATACGTCCTCGGGATATCACCCTCTAACAGGTGGCCAAAAATGACACAAACCCTGTAGCCAGGGCCAGTCTGGATCCAGCCATGCCCCACTCTGGAACACCTGGAAGCCAGGCTCCCTGGCAGGGTCAACCCTGGGGCAGTGACCCTCCAGTACCCCTGCAGAGGAATCCTTGCCTTGGTGCTCCCCCAAAACAGATCATCAAAGGAAGTGGAGTTGCTTTCTTGGAGAGAAGCGGTTCCAACTGGAGGGCTGCAGTTGTCCGTGGCCAAGCTTTTCCATTGTTATTTTACAGTTGCTTGATGTTCTGAAAGATATTTAGAAAAATGACTTTAACTGTCCTGTGCCAAACTGGGTGAGGGTGAAAAAAAAATGAAATTTGGCAGGGATGTTATTCATTCAGCATGTAGCTTGGATGAAGTCCAGTGACTAACACAGGAGTTTTAACTGATCTGGGAGACTAAAAACCATTCACAAATAATTTGATTTAGGGTCACTGTGATTTCTTTTTATAAATAATTTTCATTGAGAAATATTTTTTTAATTAGGATCGACAGACCCTAATAGCAACGCTATTGTGTGTGCCGCTCATCATTCCTGTCTTCCTAAATGACTTTCATATGTTGTGTGCTGGTTTCTTGTTTGCTGCACACGATGGGGCTTGTTCACGGGGTAACCAACGCCTCACGACAGCGGACGAGCCGTGCTGAACTCCTCTCTCCAAAGGCACGCTCCGAAGAGGACCCAGATGGAAAGAAAAGGGAGCTTTCACCATCCTGTTCCACATTCATGTTCAGGGCTGAGCCTTCACCCAGCCTCAGACATCCCCCCATGGCTGTAGAAGCCTTCTGGGTGCTCTGCACCTGAGAGATGGCAACAGCAAGTTGGTTTGGATTGTTTCAGTGCTCCAGCTCCCATCAGGGCACGGGAAGCTCTCTGAAGCAGAGCACGCTCCCTTTTCCGTGGTAGGGGTGCTGGACAAGAACGGCACCACGGGAAATACCTGACACAACCTGGAAAAAAGTCTAAACTCAGTGACCTCCTAACCCAGCAGATCATCTGACTCAGCCTGAGTAGATCTGGGAAGACTGCAGGAGAATTCGGACAGCGGACGAGAGAAGAATGACTCGGCCACTCAAATGAATCTTGCTTGGCAACACCCTCTGTGTGTGACAGCCTTTTCTTTGACTTGCACAATAACAATTGCAGCCCAGCCACTTCAGTTACTAATCTTATCTGTTGTTTGAATGGCTCTTAGCTTCCCTCCTGTTGATTAGAAATGTTTGTACAAGCTCTCAGAGTCAGCGGAGTTGTTGTTTCATAGCTGAAGAACAGGCTGGAGCTCCAAACTTTGAGATGCTCACAGTAATGATCAGATATGTTCTTAAAAGCCCACTGAATTGGATTTCAAAACAAAAGGTCCATTGATCTTAAGCCTGAAATCCCAGCCACAACTCTGAAAAGCTTTTCCCTTGTTTTTCTGAGGAACTGAAACTGCTGTGAAAAATGACTACAACAAAGAAAGGAGGATAATCTTATTAGAGGAAGCTACCTAAATTTCCTTTCATTTAGGCTGTCAGAACAGGGCTGAAGGGGCTATAATTGCTACTGAGAGACACGTGGAAGGGGAGAAACTGTTAGAAAATCTTGTGAAATCTCCAAACTGAGAGTTGTGGGGCTGGAGATGAAAAGATTTCAGAGCAGAGGTCTGGGATGGGTTTCAGCAGAAGCCACAGAGGCAGAGCAGTGTGCAGCCTGATAACCATGTGGGAGACACTGATAGGACTGCAACAGCCAGGACGAGCAGCATGTGAGCAAGAGTTCCCTGCAAGATCCCAATCCAGTCTTTGGCCTGTAAAAGGCCAAAGCTGGATGATGTATGAAGAGATTCCCCTGGCTCCTGCACTTATCCATCACTGGTCCATCCTGTTCTGCACCTTGCCTCATTCAGCAGCCATCCCAAGCTTGCTTTGCCCACATGATCTTGTTTTGGCACTGGGCAGACCAATTTAAGTTCCTGTGGGTCCCCAGGATGGACTGCTGTGGTAGAGCTCCCACTGAAAAGATTCTCTTTTGGAAAGAAAACCACTTTTTTTTTCCTTTGCTCTGTTTACTTCAATAAGCAAATGCCTTATTCAAGCCAAATTCAGACTCAAAATCAGAGGATAAGGTAGTGGCTGTGACTTCCAACACTGCATGGTGCTGGGCAAGCAGAATCCCACAAAACATCATCCCAACAAAGCACTGGCAGGTGGTTCCCAGGATTGCTGCTATCCACTTGGAGCACATCCACTCCCAAAACAGGTCCACTGGCCTGTGCTGGGGAGCAAAAATAACCTCAGCACCAGCAATTTTCACTGCACCCGTCAGAGACAGACCAGCCACGCGCCTCCAGGGCACAAACACAACTCCTTATGCATCTCCCAGTTCTACCACACGGATAAAGCAGTGGCTCATCCACAAGGATACCTGGTGGTGACAGCAACAGGCCACGTGGATAGGTTGTTCAATACCATTTGACTTGAGGATAAAAAGAGCAAATCTAGAGAGAGGGGTTGCCAAAGCACCAGCCTGCAGCCTGCCATGGGTGATGCCAACCTGGACGTGCAGTTCCCATGCTGGGAAACACACCCAGGACAGTTCAGGGAGGCTGGAAATCAAACACATGCCCAGCACTCAGGGCTTTCCTGCAGCCAACAGCTGGCAAGCTGCAGCTCAGCCAGGGCTGAAATATTGTTTCTGTGGTAAAAGGAAACTGTTTCTCTGTGTATTGTTTTTATTACCCACCGAGTCGCCATCGCCAGGGCTTTAACCACAGCCATGGGGCAGGCTGGGGGTTCCTCCTGTGGTATCTGAGCATCTTCTAACACAAGATGCCTCAGCAGTTCACTCCCTGTCTCCCCGAGAAAGCCATTTGTGTGCCAAGCACATTCCACCCCAAAATTCACCTCACAGCACCGCTCTTTGTGCGATGCTTGCAGGGTTTTTGGGATGCTAGAGGTACATCCATGCCTTCCACAGAAGTCAGCAGGTCCTGGAAGCAGCAGGCAGGAAAGTGACTTCTGCCCAGAGCAATCCTGCCAGTTTGCTTCCTGACCTGCAGCACCAGGAGAAAACATCCTTGCTTGGGCTGGAGCTGGCTTAAAATTGAGGGTTTGGAAACAAGGAATAGAGGCTAAAGCATCTCCTCCAAAACCCACCCCCAAAACTCCAAAACCCACCCCCAAATCTCCAAAATCCACCTCCAAGCCTCCAAAATCCCACCTCCAAGCCCCACCTCCAAAGCCCCCCTGCGGGGGGACGCCCGGTCCCCCCGGTCCCCATCCCCGCTGCGCTCCCGAGCCTCCAAGCCCCGCGCCATAGGCCTTTTAATTAACTTCATTATCAACCCCCAATAAACACATATCCCACCCGGGCATCCCGGCCATCCCACCCGGGCGGAGGGCCCGCTGCTCGAGCGTTCTCCCGCACGGTTCCCTGCGGGGAGCACGAAGCCGGCGGCTGTCCCGGGCCGGCTGTCCCCGGGGTTCGGGAGCGCTGCCGCTCGGGGCCGGTGCCCGGAGCGGGGCTCGGCGGCGGCGCCGGTGCGCGGCGGGTGCAGTACCCGCGGCGGCCGCTCGGGGGCGCGGCGCTGCCGCCGTGCTCGCCGGGGCGGCCGGCGGCGGGGGCCGCTCTCTGCCGCCTTCCCGCGCCCTCTCCTCGCTCCGGCAGATCTCGCGAGAGCGCGGCCGGCTGGTGGCCGCGGGGGCTGTTGCAGCAGCGGCGGCGGCGGCGGCGGCGGCGGGAGGAGGAGGCGGCGGCGGCGGCGGCGGCCGGGGGCGGCCGAGGAGGCGGCGGCGGCGGCGGAGGAGGCGGCGGCGGCGCGGGGGCGGCCGCGCCGGGGCGAGCAGCGGCGGGCGAGGCCCGAGCGGCGGCGGCGGCGGAGCGGCGGCGGCATCATGGCGGACAGAGACAGCGGCAGCGAGCAGGGCGGCGGCGGCGGGGGCGCGGCGGGCGCCGGGGGGCCGGGCGCGGGCGGCGGCGGCCCGGGCGGCGGCGGCGGCGGCGGCGGGGGCCCGGGCGGCGGGCTGCAGCACGAGACGCAGGAGCTGGCCTCCAAGCGGGTGGACATCCAGAACAAGCGCTTCTACCTGGACGTGAAGCAGAACGCCAAGGGCCGCTTCCTCAAGATCGCCGAGGTGGGCGCGGGCGGCAACAAGAGCCGCCTGACCCTCTCCATGTCGGTGGCCGTCGAGTTCCGCGACTACCTGGGCGACTTCATCGAGCACTACGCGCAGCTGGGGCCCAGCCAGCCCCCCGAGCTGGCGCAGGCGGCCGACGAGCCCCGGCGGGCGCTGAAGAGCGAGTTCCTGGTGCGGGAGAACCGCAAGTACTACATGGATCTGAAGGAGAACCAGCGCGGGCGCTTCCTGCGCGTCCGCCAAACCGTGAACCGCGGCCCGGGGCTGGGCTCCACGCAGGGCCAGACCATCGCGCTGCCCGCACAGGGCCTCATCGAGTTCCGCGACGCCCTGGCCAAGCTCATCGACGACTACGGCGTGGAGGAGGAGCCGGCCGAGCTGCCCGAGGGCACCTCCTTGACTGTGGACAACAAGCGTTTCTTCTTCGACGTGGGTTCCAACAAGTACGGCGTGTTCATGCGGGTGAGCGAGGTGAAGCCCACCTACCGCAACTCCATCACCGTCCCCTACAAGGTCTGGGCCAAGTTCGGCCACACCTTCTGCAAGTACTCGGACGAGATGAAGAAGATCCAGGAGAAGCAGCGGGACAAGCGCGCCGCCGCCGCCGCCGCCCCCGCCGTGGGCGCCGAGCCGCCCCCCGAGGCCGAGGCGGCCGCCGCCGGGCCGCCCGGCGCGCTGCTGCAGGCCGAGGAGCCCGAGGAGGACTGACCGCCCGCCCCCCGGGACGCGGACTGGCCCCGCCGCCGGCGGGAGGGAGGGCGGGCGGCGGGGCGCGGGGGCGGCGGCCCGGAGCCCCCCCTCCGCCCGGAGCCCCCCCGGCCGCGCCGCCCGCCCGGCGCCCCCCCCGCCGCCCGGCAGCAGCAGCGCCTCAGACCCGCCACCCATCGCTGGATGTTCCTCCACTTTACCCACCGTATCAAACAGTAAGCAGCTGCCAAAACAAAAACAAAACAAAACAAAAAAAAAAAAACAAAACACACAAAAAAAAAAAAAAGAGTCAAAAAAAAAAGTAATAACATTATATATGAACTGTGTTTCCTACTTGATTAAAAATATAAAGAACTGAGTGTTTATTTCCCTAATTAACCGAGAACTTTTGTACACGTTTAAGCTATTATTATTAAAAGTGTTTGCAAAAATGGTCAAGATTATAATATTGCTGAATTATATAAAAAAAAAAAGTCCTTTTCATGTTGAGCTAACATTTGACTTTAGCACAAAAAAAAAAAAGAGATATTTTAGAACACGTAAAATAATATTTTTAGTTTTTTCTTCTCATTTTGTTACCAAATTTCGAACCTTACATGGAGGTTACTATAGTATATTTGACACCCTATATACCTGTGATTAGAGATGTGTATATATATATGAGGGCTAGGCATGCTGTGTGTCTGAGCTTTGTCTAAATGTTATGCAGAAGTTTGTAGAGTTAAAAGGTACGTAGGTTTAATTCATGCAAGGTAAACAATAAGTGCTCTCTTTTATACAATATGCATTGCATCTGGACCTTAAACATATAAAAATGGTCAGTGAAACTTCTGTGAACATGAAGAAAAATTATTAAAAAAGGCATTTAAATGAAATTTGCTAACTTGTGATTTTTACGTTTGAACCAAAGTTATTCAAATAGTAAAAAAAAAAAAAAAAAGAAAAGAGGAAAAGAAAAAAAAAAAAGAGAGAGAGAGAGAAAAAAAAAAACGAAAAGTAAAGAATTTCCTCCCATAATATTTTTTTTCTGCACCTGTTCTGTTTGGTTTACAACTGAGTAGGCGTATTGTCATTATTGTGTATATGAGATGTACTTGTATTGTTCATAATATATTTTTTTTACTTTGTGTACTTAAAGTACTTAACCTGACGTGCAGCGGTTTCCAGTCCACCTGTTTTTGGACAGCAGGTAGCGAGTCTTTCCGTGTCGCCACTGGCACTAGCACTATCTCCTGAACTCGTGAGAGCTCCGGAGCCATGCTTTGATCCCTGATAACTTCCGTAGGCCTGTTAGGAGGCAGTGCAGCGCCAGGGCAGCGTGATCCCACTGAGCCATGGGGGTCGGAGTTTGGTTGGACAGTGAAAGCCAAGCCGGTGTGTGTCCGTGATGGATTTCCATGTAGCTGTGGTGCTAGTTATTATTACTGGCTACATACCTGGCCGTGCCCTGCCCTCCCCGTCCCAGCTCCCGCCGGGCGCGGGCTCTGCTCAAAGCCTAGGCTAGGGAAACACAGATTTGTCAGAACACTAATCTGTCCAGGTGTGTTCTCCAAATTGAAATTGTTTGTAATAATAATAAGAATAATAATAGACTTTTACAGGTTGTCTTCGTTGTTTTTTTCGGTTATGGTTTTTTTTTTTTATTTTAAAAAAAGTTGGTGTGCTTTTAATTGACTAACTTCTTGCTGCTGTATAGTAAAATATTAATATATTTTTATCATTAAACTGCTGCATGACTATCATCATTGCGAGTGAAGAGAAAATGTTATAAAAAAAAAAAGATGCCTTAAACAGTGAAAACAAAACTTTATTTTTTGTTTTTTCTTTTCTTTTCTTTTCTTTTCTTGGCTGGAATTCAGTAGAGAGCGTTTCAGAGAAACTAGAATCTTGTTCCACTCGGAAGTTTTTTTGGGAATGCAATCATTTTGCTGAATGGTCTTGGCTGAGTTAGGGGTCAGGTAGACCTGAGCTGCTCCTATGCGAGCAAGAGCTGCCAGCGCTTCTTTACCGACGGGCAAGGATGGAGTTTTGGAAGGGTGGGGAGAAAACAACAACAACAAAAAAGCTTGTTTTAAAGAATTTGATTTCCTGCTGTCGTTTTATTCCCAGTTGAAATTATAATTCCCTTTTTCTTCTTGGTTTTTGTTTTGTTTTGGTTTTTGGGTTTTTTTTCTTTGGAGATGTACTGTAAGTGTCAAAACAAGCTGTTTCCATTGTACCATGCATTATTGCCCTTGAAAGAAGTTTGCTGTTAGTGTTCACAGAAAGTTAAACACGAGCCGCTGGTAGCGAGGTGTTTCTGTTTCTTTTTAAACAATCACTGGAAATGTTTAAAATTGCTTTAATGTGCACTTTTCCTATTTCCCAGTAGTGAAATAAGCTTTTTCAGAGTGCGTAATGTGACATTTGAAATGGTTCTCAATTGCATGTAAACATGTGTCTGATAACCTGCTTCTAAATCGGAGGCTCTGGATGGGCAGTTCCAGCGATTATTGTACTTCAACTGTGATGTGTCGGGACTGCACTCTCCATGCTGCTAGACGTAGTTAGGAATTTAATTGCTTTGGTTTTTGCTACTTGATTGATTGTCTCGGTCCTGCTGTTCACTGCCCTCCCCAAAGTTGTCGCGCTGCCGACGGACGCGCTCCGGCGCCCGTATTTCCACGCCGCCGCGGTGCGTTCCCAGCAATAAATAGCGGGAGGCGAGGAGAGCACGGCAGAGTGTCCTTCCGTCCCTCCCGGCTCCTGGGAGCATCGCTAACGAGGCAGGCTCCTCCCGTGGTCTTCCTCACCCGCGCCGCCCGGATCCTGCCCAGGATCCGGCTGACCCGAGGAGCGCCCGGGCCGCGCGGTTCCAGTCAGAGCAGTTCAGCCTGGAACAGCCCGCGGGCAGTTCTGTCAACAGTGGCCGAGAACTTGTGGTCAGTTTTTGTCTCGTTTTGGGTTTCTTCTGCGTGTTTCCTTGGTTGTTTAGGTTTTTTTTTTCTTCTTTTAACGCACGTTCTGTATGTTCAAGGACTTGATGAATGATGATAACGAAAGACTAAAATGACTGTAAAGATTCGTGGGATTTTGCTCCTGGTTGTTTTAGTTTTCTTTTGATTTATTTTTCTGCTTTTTTTGTTTTAATTTTTGTTTTCCCGGAGGTGCTCGGTACTTTACCAAGGCTCTAATATCTCAGTATTTAAAACAAAGTACAGAAAACCCTGTTTAATGTTAGAAGAAGAAAGGTATATTTGACCATATGTGTTGTTTTAAAAAAAGACAGTATGCTCAAATGTGCCAAGATACCTAATTCGTGAGAAGTATGCCTTATATTTTCCTTGATGATATGCTTTTAAATGTCTTGTAGAATAGGTCCAAGAGCATGATAAAAGCTACTTTATAATGACTACGTGCAAGAAAACTTGAAATTCATTGCAATACTGACATTATTTTATTTTTAAGTTAAAGGGACACTGTCAAGTAATTTACCATTGAAATACAACCACCTTTTAAGTGTTTTTATGCTAACGGGGAAATGTCCTCTAAATTCAAATTCTATTTTTTTTGTTAAAAGAAAAAAAAAAATGAAATTGCTCTGTCTTTGAGAATTTAAATAAAAAAGGAAAAAAATAAAAAAAAAAGAAAAAAAAGAAACAGTACGAGCCGCTGTCGATTCCTGCCTCTTCTTTGCGGTCCCGCTTGCGATGCTGCGGCGGGAGGCAGCCAGCAGCTTCCCGGGAGCCGGGGGGGCCTGGCCGGAGCCTCCGGGGCTCCCCCGGGACCGGGAGCCCCCGGGTCGGGCCGGGCGGGATCGGCGGGCGGGCAGGAGCCCGGCCCGCGGCTACCGGGAGAGCTCCGAGCTCCCAGCCGGGCGCGCCCGGAGGCGGAGGGGCTTTTCGGGTTTGCTTTATTTTTATTTTTTTGAAAATTCGATTGGGAAAAAAAAAAAGAAAAAAAAAAAAGAAAGAAATACTTGACAGTGTCACTTTGTGCGTGTCCCTCGCAGGGGTTGAAATGCGCTGGGCGTAGCGCTGCCGGGAGAGCGGGTCCCGAGCTGTCCCGGGACTGGGGGAAGCGCAGAGGGGCTCACCCCGTGAGCCAGGCAGAGCTGCTGCCGGGGATTTAACCCCTGCTCAGAGCCGACCGGTAATTTCTTGTTCTGTTTTGTTTTGTTTTGGGTTCGGTTTTTTCGGTTGTTTCTTTTTTTTTTTTTTTTTGGGAGCAATTACTTTGTTGCCTTTAAAAATAGCACTGTAACCACCTTTTTTTATGATTAGCTGTAGTGTAACCTTTGTCCCTTCAAACTATGCAAGCTATGAAATGTAAATTAGGGATCAGTTAAAGATAGTTGATTATATTCAATCAGATGACATTCATGCACTAACTGGAGTATATACAGATAAAGCTATTAGAGTGACTTGTATGCTAACAGCAAGATATAACATACCTACCTATTCTAAAAAAATGACTATTAATATTGTATAACAGGACTGTGGGGGTTGGGAGGGAATGTTATCTCTTATCTTCTTAAAAGGGGATTTAAGATTTTTATAACTGTTTTTTCCATCAAACTTTAATATTTTTGTCAAATTTTTAGGTATTTAATTTGTAAAATAGATTTTACTTTGTACTGGCGTACAGAAAATAGGGGTTGATTTAAACTTTTTTGAAGCCAAGTGATCAAGTACATTTGTAATAAAAAGTCAATGGATCTATATCAGTCGTACTCACTGTTTTCATTTCTTGTACGTTCTAATGCAGTGGCGCTGTATGTCTCCCAAGGAAAAAAAATTGGGGAGGGGGGTGGAAGGAGAAGGCAAAAATGTCAGCATTGATGCTGCCAATTGATGCAACTTTGCATGCACAAGTGGCCCCTGGTCAGTGGAGATTTGGTAGATATGCATTTTTCCTAAAAACACGGTGCACTTTTTCCAGAAGGGTTTATGCAAACCTGACGTTTTTGTCATGTCTTCACGCTCCCACCTTGGCGCCCTTAAACTCTAAAGTCGCCCTTTGGGAAGTGCCTTTCCCTGGCACTTCAGAAAAAGCAAAACCAACCAAAGCAAAACCCTGATTTCTTCTTAAGTGGTGAACTACAGCACATGATGTTTTTGCACCCTCACACGCTGTCTCCCTTCCTCCAAGGTCTGCCACTTGCTTTTCTCTAAGTTCAACAGGTCAAAGGTGGTTTTTTTTTTGTTTCATTTTTTTTAAATAAAATTGCCAAGTG